AATTGAGATGAGCCGATCACCGTTATCATTAACAGCATCCTCCCCAAACGGTCCAACAACTTTACAGTTTACTCGTCGTCCCGTTCTGCTGTTCAAATCACCCATAAGAATGGCTTCCCTGCCAGCACCAACGTTCAGTATTTCATCATTCAGATCTTCGAAGAATTGGTCCTTACATGCGACAGTGGCATCATCATTTACACCGTATACTCCGAGCAGCGTGATCTTATGTCCGTACAGGTTAAGGTTCATTTTGATAATGCGCTGGTTGACGGCCTCCCAAGTGCCCACGAACTTACGTAGGCTTCTCCGCAAAAGTATTGCTACTCCTTGCTGAGCACGCTGATCTTTGGCTACGCCGCTGTAGAATAGATCATAGTCACCGTAATTCTCTGACCCGTGCCCTTTTTTCTTGGTCTCAGTAAGAACAGCGACATCCACTCCAAGTTTCTGAATCTCCGATATCACTTCCGGTAACTTATTTGAAATGCCTTGGACATTCCACGTCCCAAATACCATTGTCCGTTTTCTCAATTTTTGTCGACGTGCCCGTTTAGTTCTAGTGGTACCGAGGCTTGTATTGTTAGGTCGTTTAACAGTAAAACTTTTTACAAGTACCGGGGAGTTAGCCCGATGACTCAACCCCCAACCTGGAGGACCAGGGTTTGATTTCGGAGTTGCCTCTCCTAGACAGGTTGCTTTCACTTCAGCTCAGAGCCCTGTCTGCCCTTCTAGCAGGTGGTTCATACGCCCAGAGGCCGGTGACCATCTCCACTGCCCCCTTTGAGGCAGGGGCTACCAGCTGGGGTCCGCAGGATTGCTAAACCTGTGACAACAGTCCCCCATACGGGATGCGTTAATAATGCTTGATTAAAATGATTTATACTTCATATTGCCACCAAAATGACTGTTGGGCGTAATAATGGCCTATAAACCGCTTTTTTAAATTAAATATATGAGAGTATAAACCCAAAATGTATCGCAAAATCTACCCGGCATCCTTCAATAGAAGGGTTAGGTCACCCAAAAACACCAAAACAGGGTACCTGCATAGAAAAGTCTGCGCAGTACATCAAAAACAAAACTTTAAATGCGTTTTTCTCAAAACGCGGTTTCCATACACGCTGAGCTTGTCGATTTCCTTTGACATTTTTGCAGTGGTGAATGCATAGCTGAAGTGCGCTCCAGCTAGAATTGTATTTAGCAAATGGGTGGTTTTTATACGAGGATTAAAAATAAACAAGTGGTACGGAACAAAACAAAAGAATATGAACTATTAAATGGACCGTAGGTTGATTTAAATTTCTGACCGAACTGTTTTCTAACGCTTCCGTCAAAGAAAACACAAATTTATTGAGTTACATCAGCTCGTAAAATCAGTCATTCTATTGATTTTGTGCTCCCTAAGTTCTTGCGAAACTACAAACCTGATATCGAAACTTGGCTGTTTTGAAAACGCCTTCAAATGCGGCGTGATACCTCACGCATTCCGGAGAGTTCAAATAGTTGTATCATTGCGCCTTAGAAATGCGACGGCAGATTACAATTGAAATAGCCTTCATACACGCTAGTCTTTTCGATTTCCTTTGACATTTTAGTAGTCGTGAATGCATAGCTAAAATGCGCTCCAGCCGGAAGTGTATTCAGCAAATGAGTAGTTTTTATAGGAGGATTGAAAACAAACCTATGCCGCAATCAGACGCTGAATTTAGCACCTGGATGTGGAAGTCAACAGTCATCGCCCAACGGCTGAAATTTAGCAAATTCGAGTTATTTTCATCCAGATGTGTATCAAATCTACTCGAATAGTTCAGACAAATTCAAAATTGGTCCGATGGTTGCTGAGAATCGTTGCTGAATTTTGCGCGTCACGCGCAAAATTCAGGCATCGGGCCGATGATTTCCACATTCAAGCCACATTCAGCTCCCACATTCAGCGTGTGATTGCGGTGAAATGGTAGGAAATAAAACATAATAATAAGAACTTTGCAAAACGATGATCCGGGTATCGGAACTTGGCTGTTTTGAAAACGCCTTCAAATACGGCGTGATACCTCACGCATTCCGGAGAGTTCAAATAGTTGTATCATTGCGTTGTATCATTGAATGTGACGGAAGATTACAATTGATGGCACCGCACCAAGAACAGCCTATAGGCGTATAGGTTGTTATTACGCCCATCTGTTTTTCGGATTCTACGTACCCTGGACTAAGCTGTGGTAGCGATAGAGTATAGATAGGTATTGGCTCGAGGTCGAAAAACCTTTTTTTTCCGAGTTAAGTCAGGCCTCGGGATCGATGGGTGCAAGAACGACCTATATACGGGCCCATGAGGTGCTAGTTACCCCTTCCTTTACTCACTATCGATATTCTCTCATTTTGCGTTAATAATGCTTGACTAAAATGATTTATACTTCATATTGCCATCAAAATGACTGTTGGGCGTAATAATAGCCTATAAACCGCTTCTGAGCGCTCAGCTGATAGGCAGCGCTTTTTGATTTCGACTTGCCTCTGAGTACTAGTATACTAGTGCTAATGCGTTTAAATGGCGCACCAGCTCATCGATGTGTAGGCTTTTTTGGGGGGGGGGTCCATTTTTAAAATAAATAAAGCTGTGAAAACTGTATTTTATGCTTTTAACGTAATGCGCAGGTAGTTTCGATTGTTTGTCTATAAGAAAATTTCTTAGCGGTAGAGTAATTCTTATCGAAATTGATCGTTGAACACAAATGAAGCCTTAAAAAAACGCGCCTGATGAGCTCAATGGTGAGCTCATTTTCGGGAAACAAATATACGCGTTTACGGTTTCCATGGTAACCTTTGTTTGCTATCAGCTGATGTTTTATTTCCATTTCCCAGCCAAGTCGACGGAGTTTATACGTCCTTTCTTCATTAAATACATTTACTAACACCTGAGCGCTTTTCTAATACGACAGTATTAGAACTTCCCCGCTTGTTTTAAATTAAATATATGAGAGTATAAACCCAAAATGTATCGCAAAATCTACCCGGCATCCTTCAATAGAAGGATTGGGTCACCCAAAAACACCAAAACAGGGTACCTGCATAGAAAAGTCTGCGCATGCTTAAAGTTTTCAAATTTTGTCCGACCTCTCCTATTGATTCGATCCATTGTGCGCCGCTGCTCCACGCCAACGCGGCTGCGAGTAAAACGGTGATAAAACGCCTTCGCTTCGGCGTGTATGCAACACGGACGTCTCTGAGGATCGAATGGTTACATCTAGGCGTTATAATGGAATTCGTTCAGTCTTCGTCGCATACAATACTAACTGCGGGCTGAGGGGAATTTATTTGTTTCTCTTGCTCCTTAATTTAATTCCAGCATTGCCTCTTGTGCCGATGAAGTGAACAGCATAATATTTACTGCCATACTGATACAATCACTTATACAATTCAATTACTAATATATACCGCGACATTGCTAGTTTTCTGATAAATGCTTCCATCGTTTAAATACATCAAAAAATATGTCGGTGAATTTAGTCCAGCGATTAAATCGGCAAAAAAACACTTGTTCTGCGTCTCATTTTAATACTTCTATAAGCGATGACTTTAAAATAAAAAGGATAAATATCAGTGCTAATAAAGGGGGAAAAATTGAATCAAAACTAATATTAAAGAAAAGCGTTGCCGAATTTTTCAGAACAGAAACTGTTTCAGTTTTGAAAATACAGTTATGAAAATACACGTAAAGATATATTTACGTGTGCATCATAAAAATAGGATCAACGCGTTGCCAAGCTGTACAAAATCATGATGAACTCAACATCGGTTTCGTACTGATGTTCAGCAGGTTTTGAATTTCATATCCGTATGATACCGGTGTAGTTCCATATAAATTCAGCCAAAATAAAATAACAAGGCATTTTAATAACATAAAAACAGTGTAAATTGATATTTTTCCACTTCCTAGGGATCACTACACACGACACAGCCACATTATTAAGAGGGTGAAAATTAGCATCGCTACCGTAAAAAAAGAAAAAAAAAACACGATGAAAAAATAAAATCACTTGACAAAATACAAGTTTCTATAATTACTGGTCAGGTTATTGTTCGATGCGCTTCATTCAAAATTATATTTAGCCGTTTCTTCACGTTAAAAATACGGGCTGAAATGATGAGCTTCAGTAAAATCGATGATGTTCAACACGTTTCACTGCCAAACTTCTTTTGCGAAATAGGTCTTGACGGGAGAGCGATCATTAAGGCCGATTTGGTAGTGAACGTGCTGATATCAACGGAACCCTTGCAATGGACCACTAGACAAGGTACGAATTTCAGCATTCTGATACATGTTTTTTCACCAAAATTTCACGTAAAACACGATGCGCACAATGAATATTACCGAAATCAACTCCTTCCGAAGATATTAAGAATTCTTGGTGCGTGAATTCAAACCACCCGCTCATGAAAACTCAATGCTCTACGTGGTTAACATCGCTCGTAAGCGTTATCATGAACGTCTCTGCGATAAAAAAATCTGGCAACCGCAATCTTGACACTTTGGCTCAGCTGTATCAAATTACTTGTAGTTTGAAAAACACATAATGGGAAATGAACATCGCTCGATTGAGAAGATTGCTGAAACCGTTGTAGTGCACGATTTGACTCACGTAGAGCTTTGAGTTTCTTGTGAGCGGGCAGTTCAAATTCCTCGTAACCAATGTGAAATAAAAACGTGAATATCTTTGTAAGAAGTTGGTTTCAGTAATTTTCGTTCTGCAAATCGTGTTCTACGTAAAATTTTGTTTGAGAAACTTGTATCAGATTGCCTAAATTCGTCCCTTGTATAGTGGTCCATTTGTAGAATTATTAAGGAGATTGTGATCCACCAACTCTAGCCTCCTCTTCCGACGTGAGAAAACGGTACCAAACAGAGAATTTGAAGTCCTCTACGTTTTCGGATTGCTCTCTCCTCAGGGATCTTTTTTTCATGTAATTTGCATTTCATTTAAAGGTAGAAGCCGTTTTTTCAAGTTGTATCACTTCTGGCGCTTTCCAGCAGTCCGGTTATCCATTTTAAGTGAGTGTGAACTTTGTTGTAGACTCCTGGATTGTTTTTCCGAGCGCAGCCGTTACCATAGGAGACTACACCGTACAGATAGTATTTGGAATCCATGAATAGCATCAACGGACCTCCACTGTCACCCTGGAAATAAAATGCGTCATTGGTGTAATATAGTGCGTATTTTTACGCGAGCGAGTGCTGTTGAATGCGCAAAATGTCGCTAAATATCTCGCTTGAGTGTGTGAATAAATCTATGAAAAAGTAAAGCAACATTATTTTTTTTTTTTTTTTATGAAATTTAATATTTTGTTCGGGAGAAACTCTGATTAATAAAAGTTGTGGATGATTCAAATCGCTGATAAAGAAGATTACTATGAAACTCACCTGACAGGAATCTTTCCCCTCTTCGTAAGCGCAGAATGAATCCTCATGCAGACGCATCGCACCACTTGACGCTATTAAGCTGGCGCATTCCTCCGTACTTAGTAATGGTACTTGAAGTTGCATAAGTTTATTAGATTTTTCCCCACCTAAAAGTCAAAATATGAGGTTTTCAATGTTCCATAACAGCAATGTATTTATGCCTATAATCTTATATGGTTTTTTTTATTCACTTACGAAATTCACCGGGTCAGTGTGTTGTGCTGCCAGCGCGTGTCGCGCACTGGCGCCTACAAACCTAACATAGGGATACTTCACGCAGTGCGCAATCCGTGAAGTATCCCTGTTAGGTTTGTAGGCGCCAATGCGCGTGTCGCGCTGGTCACACTCGCCCGTCGCCGCGGGGCGGCGCGGCGCACCACGCCCCTTAAAGCAACCATTTCGCAACAGAGATGTTGTGCAGCATTATACGAAATTGAAGGCGCTCCAACGTATCAAGAATGACAGGCATCCTTTGAGAGTACGGAGCTTTCCTCGCAAAATAAATAAAGATACTACGGCACAAAAAGAGAGCGGTAGTCACAAAATTCACTAAGTTCTCGCGTCCGTATTCAATAACGTTCGGCATAATTTTTGAATTTCATCAGAGAAAAAATGACTCGATGAAATAATTCCTGCGTATGCCGTAAAGAAGATTCTATTTTGAATCAAGAATAAAATCGCGGAATGAAAGCGGGTTTCTACTCGACGTAAGTGACTTTTCTTTTTATGTAAGCATATGTTCATCTTATATACGAGCATTACTTTTTTTTATCGATTCATAAGGAAACCTTTAAAACGGTAATTAAATAAATCTCTATAAATTTTGAAGCAAGCTTCCGACTTTTTAAGAAGTAGAGCGAAGTAGTGTTGCGGGGTCTGAGCAGCATTAAATCGAGCTTTGCTAAATTTCCTTTTCCCTTTAATTTTTTAAATTTTTGGTTTCTCTCTCTTCATTTCGATTTCTCTCCATCTTTTTCTTTATGGCGCCCGAACCCAGGCTTCTCACTGCAGTTCATTCGGCACCGTGCCAGTACCGAAGTAGCGACGGCGGATCTTTTTTCGAGGTTTCCTTGTTGAGGCCTCGAAGATCTGACTCTGCTATGCGCCGGGACGAATACTTTCGGCCATGTGCACTTTGTGGACTTTGATTTTACATGTGGACCAATTAACTTTGAGTCTCAATAGGTACTTGGATCAAAGCTCTCCCACCGAAAAAACGCGTGGACGTAAACAACTGGAAAAAACAGGCGCACGGACAAAAAATCGTTGACGAAATGTCCTATAACCTGCACTGAACCGCCAGTCTTGTACTTCTTCAAAATGTCCAAGGAAAAAATCAATTTTCCAATGACAGAGACGTTTTCTACAGCTCTCGTGTCTTGATTTCAACCCTCGTACGTTTCTTTGGTGGAATAAGACATACGTTGAGGATCAAATACTTACCCTCTTTGGTGTAGCCCCAACCCGCAACAAATGGATGGTATCCTTCAAAGTCTTTGTTTTTGTAGAAAACAGATTCAGTAGGAAGACAAGCAGGTCGGACCAAGTCTGTGCAATTCGACAAGGCATACAAGGAAAACAAATATTTAAAACATGAATTAATAAGAATACCGAGGTAAGACGGACGAATACTTTGTTCAAATTTTACTTCTTGATTTAAAACTTATGAGCTGAACTCAAAAGAGAGAGAGAGTCGATTTGAAAATTGAGCAATTTTTTGGCTTCCTGTGGTGTATACTACACCACACACTGGGAAAAAAAACACATTGGATCTAGAGTTCAGACTCTTGAAAACATTGACAAGAAAAAATACTCTTGATTCAATCGGATTTCTGCTAGAGTCAAAACGAAATCCGCTTAAATTAAGAGGCTTGGTTCTAGATTTAAGCTAAATTCTGATTGAATCAAGAGTACTTTTTCTTGTCGATTTTTTTAAGAGTCTGGACTCCAGATCCAATAGGTTTTTTTTTCCAGTGCTTGGAGCGCTTGCTCTATGATCGGGAGGTCCCTGGTCCCGGTATCGGTTACAGGCCTGGTGACCCTAGTTTCATGGTCTAAAACCAGGATTGTCTTACCGCCTGGGGATGGCTTGATTAGGGATTCAGGGGGATAGGACCTCAGGGGGGATGGGACTTCAGGGACGGCAAGCGTGAGATTATCCTCCGGGATATTTGAAGTGTGTAAGAAAAAAATCGCCAGACTCGGCCAATTCCAGAAACAATGATTCAGTTTAAAAGATACCTCATCAGTTGGGGCAATGATTTCTGGGTTTAAAAAAATGGTCTAACAAGCTGTAATTTTTTTGGAAGGAGCCTGACAAAGGACTGAGGAGCTCATGGCTATTAAAGCTTCTGAAGAAAGGATTAATGTTCGATTTTTGAATAAATGACTATTTGAGCTCTCCGATACATGTATTAAAACTGTCCGTAATCACAGTATGCACATAATGGGTCGTCCCCACGGAGAGAAGCTGTTTAAGGAGGGAGAATGAACATGGCAATATGTACTGCGTTTATGTCCTACACCCATGTAGGCTTCCATTAGGCAGTAATTGTATACCTGAGAATTCAACCGGAGTCTTGAGAGTGAGAAGAGCAATATCATAACCATCCCATGATTCGGAATATTTTGGATGCCATTCGCTTCTGCTCACCAAAATAGTCACGGGTTTGGCTCCATCTTCAACTGAATCATCTAAGTCAAGATCTCCTATTCGAGCCACAAGTCTGGAAACATAATTGGATGCATTGATGTCGCAGAGTGCTGGTAAAACAAAAGCAATATAGAAACCCACTACAAAGGGGTTTAACGAAGATTAAAATAGAGAGGACACACAACTATTTATCAGACGTTTCGGGGTATACATGTTCATTCTCAACTGAAAACAAAGCCAAAAAATGATTTTTTCTCCCCCTTCCCTCCCTGCGAGCTGATTATTGAAATTAATAGACAAAGCTATCAACAAAAAAGACAATGGGAACATGGAGCGATCTTATTGGTTGAAATGGATGGTTATTATAGACTAACTCGACTAAATGGGAAAATTATAGACTAACTATGTAGGGTCTCTGGCGGGTTGCCGTCAGTTTGTCTATACTTACCTCCTTTGTCCATTGCAATCATCCGCTTCCACCAATAAGATCGTTTTATTTTCAGTTTGTTATTTTTGCCTATCGCTTTCTCTATCAATTTCATTAATCAGCCCGCTGGTCTCCGAACAGCCCTTCAAACTTTGCAAAGCTTGATTTGACTGCATTTTGCAATTTGGAACTAAAATATCAGGCTCAGTCCACGAACGATGTACATATCACTACTTTCCTTATGTATTTGAGTGTTTTTACAGATGGACTATAAATTGTAGTTCCTAATTGAGGACATCGCACCAAGAACAGCCTATAGGGGTGTAGGTCGTTATTACGCCCATCTGCTTTTCGGATTCTACGCACCCTGGACTATGCTAAGGTAGCGATAGAATATAGATACGTAACGGCTCGAGGTCGAAAAACCTTTTTTTTTCCGAGTTAAATCAGGCCTCTGCATCGATGGGTGCAAGAACGACCTATAAACGGGCCTATAAGGTGCTAGTTACCCCTTCCTTTACTCACTATCGATATTCTCTCATTTTGCGTTAATCATAAGTGATTAAAATGATTTATACTTCATATTGCCACCAAAATGACTGTTGGGCGTAATGATGGCCTATAAACTGCTTTTTTAAATTAAATATATGAGAGTATAAACCCAAAATGTATCGCAAAATCTACCCGGCATCCTCCAATAGAAGGGTTGGGTCACCCAAAAACACCAAAACAGGGTACCTGCATCGAAAAGTCTGCGCAGTACATCAAAAACAAAACTTTAAATGCGTTTTCCTCAAAACGCGGTTTCCATACACGCTGGGCTTGTCGATTTCCTATGACATTTTTGCAGTGGTGAATGCATAGCTGAAGTGCGCTCCAGCTAGAATTGTATTTAGCAAATGGGTGGTTTTTATACGAGGATTAAAAATAAACAAGTGGTACGGAACAAAACAAAAGAATATGAACTATGCAAAACGATAATCCGGGTATCGGAACTTGGCTGTTTTGAAAACGCCTTCAAATGCGGCGTGATACCTCACGCATTCGGGAGAGTTCAAATAGTTGTATCATTGCGCCGTAAGAATGTGACGGAAGATTACAATTATTGCAAAATGCAGTCTAACTAAGGTGCCGGGACTAAACATCATTTAACTACTATTTTTTTTTATCACAATTATAGCCCTAATTAAATTGGGAGCGTTTTCTTGAAAAACCCTTCAAGATATTGAGGAAGCTGGGAAATAATGGAATTTAAAAAATTTTATAAATCGAAAATTGATCAAATAAGATTTCTCCTCCGTGATTTTAGCAACGATAACCCTAGAGCCCTATACATGGCCCGTTTTGGGGACATTTTCTTTTATAATTTTCTTTGTCTCAAAGCTGCTTTTTCAGCTGAAGTCTAGGCGCTGGAAACTAACATTTCGAATTTCTCAAAATAATAAAGCTTAACGCAAGGGTTGGGCCGCGTAGCGGCCAGGAGGGGGGGGGGCGGAACTCCTCACAAAAAATACTCACCCTTCATAGCCTTCTTCGGGATGGCTTGGGTCGTATGTCAGTTCTTTCACACAATGCGCAGCCGTTATCACATGCTGGTCAGTTATCAGAGTTCCGCCACAGAAGAACCATACATTATTTTCGGTCAATCTCCTGCCAAGAGCCACTGCCCAGGGCCAGGCACCTAGAAAACGAACCAAACGGATTCATTCACCGATGGAATTTTTCCAACCTTTCACGATAAAACACACCATGGAACACATTGAATGCATAGAAAATGAAAACTCTAGAACAAATGGACTACATTTTGCAGTTGGGAACCACAATTTCTAGCTCATCGGTAAAAACAATTGTGTACATTGGGAAAGTAATAGTACATACGATGTTTCTAAACTGTGCCAGAAATTGTAGTTCCGCATTGCAAAATGTAGTCCAAACCAATGCAACGCTCCTCACTGGAGGGGAGTGTCACGTCTGAGACAGTATATTTTGTCATTGAGGACGTAAACATACGACCCTCTACGAAGAAAGAAACCTGGGCATTAAAAAACTCACTGTTAAATCATTGATGTCAAAACAAAGACGAGCGCACTAGGCACCGTGTGAAAGTAAATCGGAGATATAGCGAGCTGAAGTTTCCATTCCCAAAAAAGAAGTTGCGAAAAGTTTTTGTCCTGTGGTTTTAATCTTTCGTAGTCAGGGCTCAGGGCACAGAATCGCCTGATTATCATTTTATTTCACTCAACTGTTTGGAAAAAATAACCTAAATCGCACGCCTCTCGTCGTCAAGGGCGCTGGAGAAGATTTCATCGAAATCCTAAAATCCAATTTTTCGGCTCAACTCGGTACATAAAAAAAATACGATCGCACAGGGCGATACGATCGTATTTTCACGCGAATCTATGTCAAAAAAGCTACTACAAGCACAAGCATTAATGTTTAAAGTAGGCAACTCTCAGTATACAAACGATATTTTTTAGTGGACACTGCAAAATGCAGGCACGGTTTAGTCATCAATTTACGCATTACGTTTCCGAACTCCGCTTTCAATCTCGTTTTCCTTTCCTCTATTCCATTAAATAATGATTAAGTGCCTAGCCTGATATGTGTAAAACTCTATGTAAATCATCGCTTACACATACAACAGCAAGAGCCAGATCAAGGAAGACTTTATTTAATTATGAGGTTGTAAAAGTTCCACTTGACGCTCCATTCCTTCATTCAAGAACGATTGCAAAATATTATCTCGGCATTTTTTGAGAATTGTCTCTGTGGTGCGACGAAAATTCCCTGAAATTGAATGGCCTGAGGATGGAGGCTCTTGTAAGCCGTCCTCTAGAGGGCTGAACTTAGATGCGTGTTTATGTGAGGGTGTGTGTGTGGGGGGGAGGGGGGCAGGCGTCAGGGTACACTGTCAAGTGAGATATTTACCCAATTGTGCAGGCTCTCCGCCAACGATACGGCCTTTTTTCAAGCCACTCTTTCCACATTCATTTTGACCAGGCAGCGCCTTCACTTTCCGTTCAGTTTCCGCTGAAAATGAAATTGAGTTTGAAGTCAGGCCAGTGAGACGATTGATATCAACACGACTTTAATTGGCGAAATGAAGAAGAGTCTAATAATTCGTCACGAGGTTTAGGTAATTTGCAAATGAACTAAATATCAGCACTGGGTGCGTAAAGGGCTTCAACATTTCTAACAGTATTTAATAGGATCAATGGAAGAACGTGACAAGAATATTTCAAAGTAAGAGGACCAAATATCACTAGTGAAATCATTATTGAGCTGTTAGAGTTAGTCCGTCCTTGTAAAATGAGTCAGACATTCAGATAATTTTCTGGCGTTTAAGTACCTATAGGTAATTTGAACCAGATGGGTCGGAGAAGGCTCATATTTCCCTCTTCAAAATTTCAAAAATGTCTCACCATGATATTATTAGGTATGCGTGAAATTTATTTGGCTCATAAACACCTAGGCCACTGCAGGAGAGTGTTTTTGAATATGAGTCAGTTAGTGGCATTTTCTACGTGTACTTTTGGGAACCCCTATTTCCCCTAAGAGATTCAAGACTTAATAATTAAAAAATTATAATGTACATATTATTATTTATAGAGACTTTAATATAGAAACAGAGCTAGCAAAACAAATTTTGAGTTTAAAAATGTTGCACAATTTACTGCAAGATGTGTAGCCAACGAGGGTGTGCCGTCGTGTGCTATTGGAGTTAAAGTGTTTTTGTTACCTTTTTAGTAACTCAGGTTCCAGTCGGTGGAGTTCGAAACTGCCGAGCGAAACCTGAGTGCAAAAAATAAAAAAAAATATTCGATCAGCCATGATAAATTCTTATAGGACACCGCTACTGCACAAATCCTCAAATTGATATGATTATATTGCTCCCCGGTGGATGTCATCTGGCCTACCACGAAAATTGAAGGCGTAATGGCAATGTGCGTAATACTCTAATCGTGCCAGTTCTGATTCTCCGAATTTTTAGTAAAAAAATTACTGCTAAATACAGGTGAGGCTTTCACATATATTTGCCATTTCTACATATTATACTCTTTAAAAGTGTCGAAGGTGATAAAAATTATATAAAACAGTAATGAATAGAATAAAATAAATGGAATTAACAAGCAGAAAATTCATATGGAGCCTTACGAGCTAGAGAGCGTTCAACCTCCTCAAACAGAGGTGCTTCTCTTGGGTGCCTCAGAGAAGGGTTTGCCGTGCAAGGAGCGGTGAGTCCAAGGCAAATTCCGGATCTGAAAACGAAGTACAATTTGATCAGGGATGAAAATACGTCATAGAAGCGAGTGTTCTCTTTTAGGAAGTGTTCATTGCCATGGGTGGAGGTTCTAGCCAGTGTTTTTTATGTTTGGGGGCAAGGGAAGAATTGGATCACGACGAGTCAGTGGCGAGGTGTGAATGATCGATTATTATCGATATTCCTTATTTTAAGGTCGTGGTAAAGAATCGATTATCAAGGTGCTCATTGCGAACTCCCTGCTTGTTGATCCTTTCCCAGAGGTTTAAATGGCAGATCAATTGATATATCGGAAAGCACGCCACCCCACCATGACGGGTACATTGGCAACGAGGAAAAACGGTTTAGGGATGGTCGAATATTTAGATATTCGAATCATCGGCACCGAGATAATCGCATCACATTCGAATATTCGCCTCCGAAGTATTCGAAATCGCAAATTCGAATTATCGCATTCAAAAGTGTCAAAAGTGTCATTTTATCTCTCACGGTTCATTAAAAAAAAAAAATAAATAAAAAAAAAAAAAAATCAAAAAAAAATCAAAAAAAAATCGAAGCAATAATCGAAAATATTCGAATATTCGCATCCAACTATTCGCAATCGCAAGATTCGAATTCTCAAATATTCGCAATGATCGCATTCGAAAAGTTTCGAATATTCGCATTTGAATTTGGTATTCGTCCATCCCTAAAACGGTTTCGCAGTGTATGAATTCATGTTGAGAAATGTCACAGGAGGATAACTCTCAACTCTAATTAGATTGGTTTGGTCCAAACAGCGCTAACAGTTTTAGCTTTAGAAGCTCAAAATATAGTAGGGTAGAGCCTCGACGTGTAACCAGGTCCCAGAGACAAGGCTAGGGTCATAGGGTGCTCGACCTTAGCAAGTTGCGGGAGGCCTGAGAGTCCTTTTGGAACCGTTCAGGAAATGGGAGACAGTGGGAGAGGAGATCTGGCAACACTGCACTTGCTGCTCTCATTTTGCGTTCCTCTAAGAGACTTGCCGTAAGACGCAAGGGAGGAAAATAAAGGAGGGCTGCAGCTGGGTGCAGTGGAATGCAGTTTTTCTTTTTCCCGTTGTCTTGCATTTCCGAGGCACTCATCGGTCTCCCGGATTGGAGGACTGATGAGCGTGGGTGGTGATTGGGACCAATCAGAAGCGATTTGGCAAGAGTCACTTGGGCTTGGTCAACAATCCCACCCTGATGCCTAGGTGGGTTCAAGGGGGCTCTCACTCGAAAAACTATCGCGGATTCGTAACGTCGAGAAATGTAATTAAGTTGGCCCTTTGGGCCAACTTCTCTCGTTTAGCTCCTTAGCATACCTACGAAATGTTAGGTCGGGTACGGTAGTTAAGTTTGCGGTTTAGTGTTTTATTATTTGCTCATGTTGCTATTTTCTTGTTCGGTTGTCATTATTATTTAGTATATATATATTTATCTTTTTATTTATTCCTCTTGCCTTTTATCATTGTCTCGCGTGTATGCGCTAGCCGGCCGCAGCATAGACGAAGTGTCTCGTGTTATTTTTAGATGATCAAAATTCCCAAATGTTGATGATTTTATAATTCAAGTAGGTATAAACTCACTGAAAAATGGTCCGAGGTGGAGAGGATTAAGATAGGCTTCAGTCATACAGTCAGATAGGCATCACAAAGGGGGTCTTCCCATTTGAAAATTAAAAGTTGGGGGCCGTTGCCATCTCCCAAGGGGGGCCCCCCTGAAAATTTTAGGGAGGCCAAAAAGTAGCTCCCTTCGACCTAGGAATATCCCCCAAGTTTCAAATCTTTATCTCAATTAGGTAAAAAGTTAGAGGGGGTGGAAGGGACTTTTGGATCACCCTGTATAATGAGTACGATGACGAATTCCTTGTCTCTCATTGGTCCGTCCCAAGTTGAGTGGTCCATTCATCACAAACTGCATACAGGGTGTCCCAAAAGTCCCTTCCACCCCCTCTAAAATTTTACCTAATTAATATTTTGAAACAAAACTTTGAGGATGTTCATCGATCAATGTAAGCTACTTTTGGGGCCCCCCAAAATTTTCGGGGCCCCCCGTGGGGAGGAGCTGCGGACCCCAACTTTTTTTTTTCAAATGGCAACCCCTATCTTGTGATACCTCATTCGAAAGAACATGAAAAACTAAGAATTTTGGCGCAAACCGCAGATCAATATCTTAATTTTTGACCGAGTTATGATAGGTCAAAGGTCAAATTTGACCTATTTTCAAAAAATCATAACTCCGGTTCAAATTATCGTAATGAAAAAATATAACGGGGAAATTTACCACATTGTAAGCACTTTTAAGGGAAAATCATAGAAATTACTTCAAACTAATTTTAAGGGGAGTTTCGGACCCCCAAATACGCCAAAAAAGGTCAATCAATTTTCCCGCGAAATAAGCCAATTTCCCCCAGATTTGCCTCCACATTAGTTCAGTAAGGTCAAAATCAGTTCAACATTACGTTGGCAAGTCCCCAAATTTCGGGAAAAGTTAAAAAAAAAAATTTAAACGGTCAAATTTAATCACCTTTAATTTCGTTTTTTTAAACTTTTCCTGAAATTTGGGGACTTGCCAACGTAATGTTGAACTGATTTTGACCTTACTGAACTAATGTGGAGGCAAATCTGGGGGAAATTGGCTTATTTCGCGGGAAAATTGAATGACCTTTGAATTGACGTATTTGGGGGTCCGAAACCCCCCTTAAAATTAGTTTGAAGTAATTTCTGTGATTTTCCCTTAAAAGTGCTTACAATGTGGTAAATTTCCCCGTTTTATTTTTTTCATTACGATAATTTGAACCGGAGTTATGATTTTTTGAAAATAGATCAAATTTGACCTTTGACCTATCATAACTCGGTCAAAAATTAAGATATTGATCTGCGGTTTGAGCCAAAATTCTAAGTTTTTTATGTTCTTTTGAATGAGGTATCACAAGATAGGGGTTGCCATTTGAAAAAAAAAAGTTGGGGTCCGCAGCCCCTCCCCACGGGGGGCCCCGAAAATTTTGGGGGGCCCCAAAAGTAGCTTACATTGATCGATGAACATCCTCAAAGTTTTGTTTCAAAATATTAATTAGGTAAAATTTTAGAGGGGGTGGAAGGGACTTTTGGGACACCCTGTATAGCGCCGCACAGCGCTAATGGCGCATGCGCAGGCAGCACCACTTGACGCCAGCTCGCACGGTTTGCCATTGGTTTGCCGGAGGAGGTTATGTTTATGTTTTTATGCTTCCATGTTTTTCAAAGACATTATAACCTATAGACAGTGCGTTTCCCTATCTCGCCGTGCTTGCGCGCGGTCACCGTTTTCTCCGTCGCTCCATGATGGACTGAGCGGGGGGTAGAACGTGTTCGGGGCTCCAGTACGCTGCCGCTGCCTTACGGAGAATGCGTGTTCCGCGTTGGTTTTTCGCTTGTAACTATTCAGTTTTTCGACTTTACCTAAAATAGAATCGACTTACATGAAAGAGCGTGAAATTTTCTATCCGCCAGTATTAAAAAAAACGTAAAAAAAAATTCCTTTGATCGAAAATATGGGTTCTAAAAAAAGCCGCGGCAAAAATTCTTACGATCAGCGACCTTTTTTCTCATTTTCCTTCGGAACCGTCGAAATTAGAGGAAAATGTCTACGGACCTTTTTAAAGGGCGTAAAATTTCCTATCAGCTCATTACAAAAAAGTTACAAAACAAAAATACTTGGGGGCAAAAAAATGGGTTTTAAACAAAGCCGCGGCAAAAATTCTTACGATCAGCGACCTTTTTTCTCAATTTTCTTTTGAACCGTCGAAATTAGAGGAAAATGTCTACGGACCTTTTTAAAGGGCGTAAAATTTCCTATCAGCTCATTACAAAAAAGTTGCGAAAAAAAAATAACTGGGGGCAAAAAATGGGTTTTAAACAAAGCCGCGGCAAAAATTCTTACGATCAGCGACCTTTTTTCTCAATTTTCTTTTGAACCGTCGAAATTAGAGGGAAATGTCTGAGGGTGTAAACAATAACGATTAAAAAAAGAACGATTTTACCACGAAACCCGAGAAATTTTCCGTCTTGCTCAATGCAACTCAATGTTGAGATAACGGCGCGTTGACAGTGACCGGAGCCCCGATGCAAATTCGGAGGTTACAGCGCGTCACCGATGGATGACTGTTGCCGCATGCGAATTCGGAAAAAGTTGTGACCGCGCGTTCCGGATACCCACTATGTTTTTAAGATGCTCAGCTGAAGTTCTCTGATTTCCGCGTGAATTTTACCCAAGATAGTATCTTCCATGGCTAAAAATGTGAAACGCCACGTTCTTAGCTACTTGTTTAGCTTCGACTTTTTTGCCGGAGTGTGTGGCTTGCTAGCTTTACTGATTATTACCAAGTACGTGTTTGACATCGTGTATGCTCATCAGCCTGAAGTTTATATAGATGAAATCTTCCACGTGAGGCAGGCAGAAAAAATTGCGCATGGCGACTTTCAAACGGTAAGTAGTGAAAGTATCTGTAATAATCAGATCCTTTTCTTTTCAGTCTCATCATTTGCCATTTTCAGCCTGACAGATTGTACCAGCAGATGCCTCTGTCTCTAAAGGGCTTTTTTTTTATGCGGATTGCAGTGGATCGCGATGAACATCGGTATTTTTTTATTCCGTTCCTCAGCGTGATCCAAGTGTTCCAGGTGGATCAGGGTGGAACGCTGGATCGCTCTTCCGAGGTGGGGCGAGCTCGTGATCCACTGTGATCCTAACCTAATGCGAGGAGGTTGCCGTCCCCAAGAAATCAAAACAATAACAAATTGAACCAAATTCCAAGTTTGGATTTTTTTATCACTTGGATCGGTCCGGATCGCTCAGGATTCTGATCCAGTGCATTCCACTGCGATCCACCCTGATCCGTGATGAAAAAAAGTCCTTAAGAAGGCTCCTATTTCAACTGTTGACAATTAACCCTATAAATTTGGTCATTATTTAGTTTCTTAAATCATGTTCCCTTAAAAGCAGAGTAGTCAACTCAAACTTGAAACCGCCACCCATTGAGTAAGTACCTGAGTGATTTCAAGGTAACAGGACTTGTCAGATTGCTCGACACTTCCAAAAGAAAAGTGTTCCGCTCAATTTACCAAAGGACCCCGCACACCTCTTATGGGAAGCTGCACCATGAAGAATTGCCTTCTGACTTATGTTTATCGATTCTCCTCAAGATGCTGATCAAAAGTTATAATTGCGCCAACTTTCTACGATGCACCGTTTTCTCAAAAAACCTATGAGAAGATTCAATTATTCGGTGATGAAAAGCCAGAAAGATTCCTCATTTCAGTGCTCGATTGACAAGCGGCTGTGTGCCAACAAGGAAATCATGGGGACTCCCGCACCGAGCGGCAGTCTTATCTCGGATTCCGCACGCTGTTTTGCTCGACCACCATCCAAATCAGATTCTTGAGGAGCATAAGAACAGGAAAGTCTGAACGTCCACCGGGCGAGTGCGGGAGGGAGATAGCCCCTGAGTCGGCAGGTACAGATAAGAAGACGGACACGCACTACGTTTTTTCCTTATTTACATCGGGCCTGTTCTCAAATGCTTTGTTCTTTTTTATTCATAGTCTCCGAAAAATTGAATCTTCTCATAGGTTTTTTGCGAAAACGGTGCATTGTAGTATGTTGGCGCAATTATAACTTTTGATCAGCATCTTGAGGAGAATCGATAAACATAAGTCAGAAGGCAATTCTTCATGGTGCAGCTTCCCATAAGAGGTGTGCGGGGTCCTTTGATTGAATAAGCAATTCTAAAGATATTCAGTTACATTTTTCTTGCTTTGGCAATAAACATTTTGTAGGCCCCTGCATTCAGACTCAGCATTTTGGACCGGAGTGCGCTGTTTTCAGGCTTAATCATACCAATTCAGGTTAAGATAATTCGTGAAACTTACGTGACATGGTAGAACTGGCATGTGATATATCGCATTGATTAGATCAAATATCTCGGCAAATTTTGAATTTTTAGGAAGAAAAAGGACAATAGCCCCTGTGCACAAGCCCAAAGAATCATTCTAAACCTAAAAATTGACAAAATTCTGAGAAATGGAAGCAGAATAGTGTTTGGACCAAAACCTTGCATTCGACACAGAAATTGATAGCTGAATCAAATGGGAGGTTTTTTCCCAAATACTCTTCTGCTTTCTCTTCTCTGAATTTTGCTGATTTTTGGGCTTAGAATGATTCTTTAGGCTCATGCGCAGGAGCTATCGTCTTTTTTTGCTAAAAATTCAAAATCTGCCGAAAGTTTTGACCTAAGCAATGCGATATACAGCATGCCAGTTCCACCATGTCACTAGAGCTTTACGAATCACCTTAAAATTCTCTTTTCTTTCCAGTAGGTACTTTCTGATTTTGATTAAATATTTTTAAAACAATAATGGAAACTTTAATTTTTGAAGACAGGGTCTTCCTTTTAGTTCCTGAGGGATTCCGAAAGTTCTCCGGGATGGTGTAATTTGCGCTCCTCAGGGTTGATTTACAGTTTGCTAATCGTTCTTATGGTCTGCGACTAATGAGATCAATAATAATGGAGAAAAAAGCCTGGTGCAGTAGAACTGAGCCACTCTGTATTATGACAATACACTAAATATTTATGAAGAGTAACTTTTATCATTTATTTAAATCAGTTACAAAAGATTATCATTAAAAAATGAATTTTTGCAAATATAAGTAATTCAGTATTAAGTGAATCCAGCTCACTGTCTGAACACTTACCCATTGAAAAGTAATTAATCATGAATTCATCATAATCCATCAATAAAAAATCAATGTTTTTCATGAAAAGAGCTTGATGTAATGAATAAAACATGCAAACTTTTCCGAAAATTTCAGTTGTTAGGTGAATGAGTCATTATTTTAGTTTTTCAATGAATGTCTAACTCTTGACTGTATTCTGTTTACCAACAGTGGGATCCAAAAATCACCACATTACCTGGGCTGTATTACCTGACAACATTTGCCATCAGAGGACTTGGATTTTTTTTCGCTGGCATTAGATGTGATTTGTACACCCTCAGGTTTGCTAACGTTGTGGGCACATTGATGAATTTTTTGCTTTTCTACCTCATTCATCTGAAAATCCATGAAAAGAAACAGGTATGGATGCAGGCATCAGGATCTATTTTTCCTCTTAACATTCAAATGTGTACTCATCTCTGCATGCGATATTGCTGCATTGGTAACTTTAGAGGCTGTTTCCTCACGTAAAATTTGATTTAATGCAAAATGGAAAAATTTACGCAGGTATCCTCATTTCTAACATTCTTTTCAAAAAGGAAGGAAAAGAATCCCATGCCAGCTTCTGGAGGATCTCTACCATGACAGATGCCTGTGGAGAGAAGATGTAGCAGAGCACCTTAGCGCGCCGCTAAAGCAGCTTTTACATACATACAGGAAAAGAATCCCCCCCCCCCAAAAAAAAAAAACTTCTACTTGAAGAAGATGACTTCCCGAAGGAAATGAAGTCCATCTTCTAACTTTAAAAATTAACTTTTGTCTGTAGGGGCTTATACAGCACCCTGCATTGAGTTCCAGAGCGGGCCTTGGAATTTAGATTATCAACTTTTCTTGCACCAGTGTAGCTAGGGTAAAGAACAGCCTTTAAACAATTCATACCTATCCTCAGGGTTGCCGGCGGTCTGGAAAACTGGGAAAGTTAGGGAATTTGTGGCGACCAGGAAAGGTCAGAGAATTTTCAGGGACCAGGAACTGTCAGGGAATTCACACAAGATATGTATCAGGAAATTTAATGTGTTTAGTGTTTGGCAGAAGTGAGTTTAATTTAAAGGAAAAATGTTCTATCTGAATACCAAGGAAAGTCAGGGAATCCAAAAATTTTGGAGTCAGGGAAAAGCCAAAACAGTCAGAGGAAAGTCAGGGAATTCTAAGATGAAGAAATTATGGCAACTCCGTATCTTGTTTTTCTTGATGTTTGCTATAGGAGGTTGGATTGAAAGCTGCTTATTTTTCTTGGATACAGTCTCCCTTTTTCAAGAAAGTAAAACTTATGACCCTAAGAAAAAGTTTTCATTATTAACTCTATTCATTCTAATCTAACAGGAAAATCTTCTGAGGCAGTATTGATAGCTTGATTATTAACAAAAATGAATGGTCTAGCCGTTGTGTTCTCAAAATTTGTATTATGTTTTAGGATGGAATGTCACTGAAAGTTTTCCTGTCCGCCCTCAATTTGTCAATATTCCCAGTTCTGTACTTCTTCTCATTTTTATACTACACTGATGTTATTTCCACATCATTTGTTCTGCTCATGTTCTTTTTGCATCTGTGTAATCTTTCAAACCTGGCAGCAATTGTAGGTAAGTGTTCATTTCCAGTTTACGTCTACTTTTGTGAGTAATTTTTAACTGTATTTATATTATTCTGCAAGTTATATAAATTCTTGCACACAATTTTACAAAATCTTGGGCTTGAGCACAGTTAGTTTAATGCGATTTGAACTTGCTGGCAACTGCCTTTTTTGCATTTAGCAGTTGTTAGATGTTATAACTCAAGGTTCTAACATCCTTTTTTTTTAAAAATTTGAGTGTTTATTGGTCTTCTTATAACATCTAGGTTACATGACCGTTGCATCTTTCTGATAATTTCAGGTCCCAGCAACTGACAATCAATATAAAAAAAAAGCGTAACGACAAGTCTATTCCTTCAAAATTTATAGTGTTGTAACTTAATAGTATGTTTCTGAAACTTGTTTTCTGACTACTTCTGTCTTGTAATTCCGTTTCTTTAACTGCAAACTTCGTGATAATTACAGTTTGGTTTGACTTTTTTGGGCCTTTCTCGTGCCAAAATATGCTTAGAACACCCTTCATTGTTCCAATATCAGTACCACAGATTTTGCAGTCAAAGGTACCTTCCTCTGTAGACTGTCACTTTCATTCATTTGCTTAGGTTTTTCCCATTTGTGTAAGTGAGGGGGAATATAGGAGATATTTTGATCGTGGTAAAGTTTATTTATCCTTTCCAAAGTATGACAGAACAGCAGTACCAATAAATCGTATTTTCCTCTGAATGTACTGGAATTTATCAAGTAAGGAAAAACTGTTTAGTCTGAGTTGATTATTACTTACTTACATAACTAGCCATGCTGATGTTTTCATGTTGGTGCAGAGAGACGAAAGCAGGGGAAAATATTTCACACAATTAACAAGGGAGTAAATTCCATTTTACAGCCATGTTATGCAGGAAAAACTTCTCCCAAAACTCCTCCTAATTCCTTTCAACAGCCCTAGAGCCGAAAATAGCAAACTCTTGTCCTCTTCATTAATCTTTGGAATTAGAGAACATAAAATCGAGATCATCCCATAAAAACTTTGATGTGAAGTACCGAATAATCCATTTTAACTGAGTCAAGGTAGAGTAAGAGAGAAAGAATTTCATAGTTGTCTAATTCAATCTGTAATTCTAGTTTTTTTAAAATTTTATTTCTTAGCCCTCCTTTTCTCTTTTACCAAAATCAAAATTTGATTTGGCTCCACAGTTTTACCTAAATTAGTTTGATGGTTTGAAAATATTGTATTCTTTGGAGTAAAATTTTTGCTAGGTTGCCTCAAATGTACTCAAGATATTGGATGAAGAGGATTTTACCTCCCTTTTTTTGTGCTCCCTCCCCTCAACCCTCAAAATCTAGGATCTCAGTTCTAGTTTCTTTTCATTAAAAGGCAACTGATAAGATGTACTCCCCACCCAAAAAAAATTTAGTCCTAAAATTTTTAAAACTAGGGGAGATATAAATGTTCGAGTCCAGCGAAATTGATGGAGGTGTGAAATAAATGAAGACTTACCCATTTCGTTACCTTCTAGCCAAAGTTTCACAAGTGCCTTTTGTGCCGAGAATCTATGTTGTCAAACTTCTCTAACCTCCCCGATTTTTTACAGAAAAACTAATGAACAGAATCACCTGAAAATTTTACCTACCTAATATTTCTTCTGTCATCAAGATTAATCCCTGAAATTTTTATGAAATTATGAGCTAAAGATTTGAAAAGAAAGAAAGAAAATTAAAACAACATTGAAATGTACGGCAACATAGTGTCTGAGCCCAAATGGAGCCTGGGTTATTTTGACCGAAAAGTGACAACACAGGGGTAACAGGATGGTAGAATAGTGCTGGGTTTGCACTATTCTGAAGGGAAATCAAAGGTAATAATAACAAAAATTCAAGTTAGAGTGCCCTAGAGAATCAGGGTTTTCATGCATCGCAGCAATATGTTAGTTGTCCAACATAGTGTCTCCAGAAATAAGTCTTTCCTCTGACTTCAATAATTAAGAAGAAACATAATCAGAATTCTTTTAATACACTCACCGAGTGTGAAAAAATAAAGGAGAAAACCAAACCGATTTTTTGTCTTTCTTTCTAATACCTAATTAATAATTTTTCCTTAGTGTTGATATCTTTTATTCGTAATGAGGAAGTACCACAGTTAATGACCTGCATGAATCTGTCAATGTTCATAAACATTGAAGCTTGTAAAGAATTTGCAGTGGTAGGCAGGTATCGAGAAAGATCAGAATCCAGTCAGATTTTACTATTTTTCATTTCAAGTGGCTTATGTATGTTTGTAATATTATTGCAGGTGGCGCCTCCATCTTGATGAGACAGACGAATGTAATATGGGTTCTCTATTTTTTTATGCATACAATTTATGACTGTATAATTCAAGAGGCAGTGTTCCAGAAGAAGATAAAATCTATTCAACATTTTGAGAAATTGCCGATGAAAGAAGGATTTGTGTCGATTATTAAGGTAATATTTCAGAAGTGAATCATGAATTAATTACTAATCTTGCTTTCTTCCTTGCAATCTCCATCCATACTATTTACCACTCTAAGTGTATCTTGAGAACTGTTGAGAACTTCACTTGATCTGTGGGAATAACTAAACGGTATTCTATGAAAGTCTGATATTCTGAAAAAAAGCTTTTAGGAAAAAACATATCAGTAAGAGTTGATAAGAAGGAAGAGGAGGGTCAAGCATTGAATTAAGATCCAAAAAAATGAATTCACATAAAAAAAAATATTGAGTGCTGCAATGTGCAAAGCACTATTCATAAATTACTTATTTTGTTAAAATTGAGTAAAAATAAGTAGTCAGAGAATGAAGTCTGTGTTCCAGTAAGAAAGAACTCTGAGAGGCAAAGTAGGGTGACAACACAAAACACTGTCGCATCAATTATTTACTGCTGTGAATGAAAACCCAAAACATATTATGATGAAACTTTTTCTGTTTCAGGTTGTGTTATCGACTTTAAAGGACTCATTATTGGTACGCAACAAGAAAAATTCCTTTTTCAATCGAAGGCTCGTCAAGTCAATATTACTAAGAAGTCCAACCTATTTTTTGGTAATGTTAAGTTTTGTTCTCTTTGTTTACCTGAATGGTAGTATCGTTGTTGGAGACAAAACAGCACACAAGGCAAGCTTTCATTTGCTACAACTTTGTTATTTTGTAGCATTCACTTTATTCTTTGCATGGCCGTTTTTTTTCCGGACTGGAGTTAAACTTGTCAGAAATATTCAAAGAACTCTAAGCGTATTGGTACGCCATAAAACACTCATTTTATTTAGTTCCTGCTCTTTGGCGCTCTGCATATGTTATAACTTCCAGGCGCATCCGTATCTTCTCGCTGATAACAGACATTATTCTTTTTATGTTTGGAGGCGCTTATTCGGTCATGCATTTATCAAGTATCTGTTAATTCCTATTTATTTATTCGGTTTTATTACCATATCAAAGTCTATCTTTTCCTTTGCCAAGATTGACCTTGTCTCTTTTTGGATCTCTGCCGCCTTGTGTCTGGTACCTCAACAACTTCTAGAATTTAGGTACTTTCTAATCCCTTACTTCATTTTTCGGATAAAGATGAATAACTTAACAGTGAATCAATTAGTATTTGAATTCATTACATACATCGTTATTAATATTTTCACTATTTTCCTATTTGTTAAGAAACCATTTTATTGGGCTCATGAACCTGCAATTGTTCAGCGATTCATGTGGTAACATTTTTAGGGAAAATATTGTACTGTGTGTTTTTGGGAGTAGTATGTTTACCACATACGCCAGTGTAGTGGTCCTAGGAGCTCTATACTCCTGGTGATAAGGATGGTATGAAAAAGTCAGTATCTTTTTTTTACTGATTTATTCTTCGGTCACTACAACCAGCAATGTCAATTCCTCGCTGTTTTGAAAATAATGGAACAGAAAGCACTGACTTAATTTGTTCAAGAAATGAGATCAAACTTTCAGAGGGATAGGAGTTTGATAGGCTACTGAACAAGGTGTGAATTTAAACGGAGAAAGTTCCGGTTATGCCTGAACCTTGTTCATTAGCTACTCTTTCATTCTTTCTCCGATTTTATCAATCCACCTCCTCACCGTCTCATTCGAAAGAGGCAACAGGATTTTTTTTTTCTTTCTAACAACAGCTTAGCCCAGGATAGATGTTACTCTCAAAATTGCTACCGGCAATATGAGTTCTTCCTCTGAGGTGTCTGCCACGCTTCACTATCAGGAAGTATACCAAGGGTGTAATGTTACTGAGCTATGCTGGAATTTTTTATGGATGGTGGGAAAAAAGCCTAGCCTACAGATTCCTACTTTCTAGAAAAGGTGGTATTCCGAATGTAGATCAGTAGTGTTCGCATGGAAACATCAGCAACTTGTTGCGAGTTATCCCTTTGGGATGGTTGAATGTGACCATAAACATTAAAATTTTTGGCCACTGGGAAATTGGAACACACAAAGCTGGCACAGCTTTAGTTGTGCAACCAACTCCACCCAGTCTGACAATTGATGAACGGATAAGAACACAGTCTCAGTAGCTTTATAGAATCGTTATTGATGAGCTTCACCCAATCGACTAGGTTACCAACAGCAACAAACTTTTAAAGTAACCAAGATGCCACTTTCAAAACACTTCTGGGTGGATTTCTGTAGAATTTCATTTTGAGAATTTTTTTTTCTTCAAAAAAAATTTTACAGTAGGTAAATCAGGAAGCATATTTTAGAAGCAATGTATGTACAAGCGGGATCGAAGTTCCTGCGTCGAATGGTTTCCCGCAACCCGCCATACATAGCTAAGACGTTCTACCTAAAACGGTTTGCCGCAACCCGCCGTACACACTTATCAACGGCGGCACCGGGGAAATAGTTGCACTCCAGTTCTTGAATAGATAAATGCGTTTCCTCACGGATTCTATATCTCCTCCGCACGCGTTTGGCGTGCTCCTGCGTTGTTGATTAAACCGAGAGATACCCGGAAACTATGACCGTAAATTTTATCGCATAAATCGGCTGTTCGATCCAAAATCGTGTTTGAGAGTTGAGGATGATTCTGTTTCGGCGAGTGTCGCTGAGGAAAGATAGAGACCAGTGGCGTGGCGTACTTTGCGATGTACCGATTGATCTGCCATTTAAACCAATGGAAAAGGATCGATAGACAGGGTGTTCGCAACGAACACCTTAATAATCGATTCTTTACCATAGCTTCAAATGGAGAGATGTCGATAGTCGATCATTCACGCCACGCCACTGATAGAGACTGATCGTAGAGAGGGGGAGGGGCGCGCAAGAAATCTTAAGCGCCAAAGTATTTCAATGAACTGATTTTATTTGATCAGAAGCTTAGGCTGTCTGAATTTGCCGCTCTTTTCAAATGTTCAAAATTTTAAAGGACTACTAAACCTTAAACGTTTGAAATTGCGGCCATGATCTTTTTTACATAATAAACCATCGAATGCAATCGACAATATCTAACACAATTATGTAGTCATTAAATTGGCGTACTCATATATCTTAGGTTTTCTTTTATTTTCTGGGTTTTATTTTAAATGTATTATTTTTATTTTGTTTAAGTCTTCAGTGTCATTACAGATTTGCCGCTTTTAATTTCTAGGGGTAAAAGGTAAAAGTGGAATAGGAATATTAAATTTTCGGCGTCCTTCTTCATATCAAGGGAAAAAATTTGTGAGGTACTTTCCAGTTTTCAGTTTTCGAATTGAGAATTTAAAATGACAAGGGCCAAAAAAAAAAATCGGCGGAAACTGCGAGTCAATCCGATCCCCCTGCCAAATGTTATCCGCCCAAAGTTTATCTGGGGGATCTGCACCTTTATTTCATAAGCCCTTGTCCCACGATCAAATGAACTCATCAAATAGTCATCAAATGCAAGATGGCGACTGGTTTTCGCGCAAGTCTGCTATCAAAAGTTAGCTGGCCGTCAATGTTGATGAACCCGCCATCTTGCATTTGATG